TAAGTGAAACAAATCGATGTTTTTCTTTCTCTCTCTTAAAAAAAAAGGGAGGGGGGTTGTGTGCACACTGGACAGGCCTTTAGGAGACCTGGGTTCTAGGTCAGCCTGGCCCAGACCCTAAGCATGTGGCTGCCCCTGTCTAGGCCTCAGTTTTCCCATGGTGAAATGAGGGTGGCAGCAGGCTATTGCCGGTCTGAGTTTTGGTGCTGTGGGTCCTGAGAGGCTGAGAGGGTGAGTGCAGGGGTTGTAGGGGAGCTTTGGGAAGCAGAGGCTCCTTTCAGGTTCTCATCACTGGGTCTGAAGAGGGTTTTCTGACTTTCTTTCCTTTCAGATGTGCAGAGTCCTCCTTCACCATGAACCCTGCATTCCATAACCACAAACTGACTTAGCCCTGTGCTGGGCACTGGAGTCCCAGAGCTCAGGCAGACCCAGGTCATGCCCTGGAGGAGGTCCCTCCACAGTCTACTAGGGAGCCAGGCTTGTAATCAGGCAACTTTAGCATAGAGATGAGTTCAGAACGTCATGAGGCCTCAGAGGAGGTGACTAAACACAGCCTGGAACTCTGGAAGGCTTTCAGGAGGAAGGGGTCTGAGTCTTTAAGACCAATAGAAGTTAGCAAAGAAAGAGCTGGACAAGCAGCCAAGGCTGAGGGAGAGCATATTCCAAAGCATGGAGGTGTGACTCAGCAAGGAACTTTGGCTGGCTCTGGGGATTTCAGTGGCAATAGGGAGGCTAGCCGAAGCTAGAGTGGGGCACCTGGGAGCCAACAGGGTCAGATATGGGCATTGGAAAAACCTCTCTGGAGGTAGAGAGGGAATGTTTTCCATTGTTTCTGATAGGGGTAGGGCATGCTATAGGAATAGAAGAATCACAGTTGATTAATAGCTATTCACTATACTAACTATAGATAAGAGATTTTTTCTTACAGACCCTGGGAAACTGTGGAGGACGTGTTGTAAGAAGAAAAACAGAGTCATAAAGATAAGCAGCCTTAGAGTCCAGATGCGTCTATCACTCAGAAAGAAGATACATTTTGAGAGCAGATCAAGGACAGGGCATGCCTGAATGGAAACAAACATCTGGGGGCTAATCTTTAATGAGGACAATGATAGAAAACAGACCCTGGGAACTCACATAGTTTTAGATTTTCTCCCACCCTCGAACCCTATATAACAGCTGGCTTGAGACGGAATGCCAGAGTGGTTTTTCAGGGTATTATACCTGCCACTCTCTTGGATCTCCGGCATCTGAATAAAAGCACCTCAAAGATTCAACCTTGTCTCTACTTATTCAATCTGGCAGCAACAAGCAGCACAGCCACTATTAGTTCCGGTTTCACTTCCAGTACCAAGCCAGATAACCCAGTGGCTGGGTACTGGCACAGCCAGAATGGGAGATCCTCTCCTGACTCAAGGCCCAGCCATCATTCCTCAGGCTTCTCCAGCAGCCCCATTCCCACACAAACACACATCACAGTGGAGTGCCCAGGCTGTTTTCCATCTGCCTCTCTCAATGCACTGGGAAACAGCACCTGGATCCCTCTCACTGCCAGCACAAAGCCTGGGGTTCCTCAATATTTGGTGGGAGGAAAGATAGGAAGGACAGTTAACCCACACTTGCTATAAATTAATCAGAATGCTCCCTTCTTCCTTGTAGTAAGGTCCCCAAACTTTTGTGTGTGGGCTTTTATTTTTTGGTAGCCAATAGGTTGGTAGGCACATCCAAGAGGTTCATCCACCTTTCTCTACCTTTGAGATCTCTCTCTGAGAGACTGATTTCCTCTGGAGGTGGAGTGGGGCTCCTTTAGAGTTTGGGGGCCCCCTGCTCCCCGCTTACCATGCCAAAGCAACAGGTTACTGCATCCCTGGCCTTCCCTGCAGAAGGAAGCTCTGGTTTGCCAGCACAACTTTAGAAGTGGCTCACCTCACTCTGATCAGATCCCATGCCCCATCCCACCCGAAGGTCCTATCCAACCCAGGTGCTCTGAGCCCAGGCTACTGGCTAATGGTACAGCTCAACTCTCAGGCTCTGTGTGCTTGGATAGCAGAGGGTTCCTGACCACCAGCTGTGCCTGAGTATTGAGGATTTGGGGCAGGGACCAAGCTCCTCCATTTTTTGGGTATGGAGCCAGCTGCTTCACTCCTCCTCCTGTAGAGCTACCACTGCTTGAAGGCTTACTATAAAGAAAGCTGTGAACTCGTTGGATTAACATAAACCCTGAGACATGTTCTAATTATGCCCATTTGAGCTGCAAACTGAGAGGTGAGGTCAAGGGGCTTGCCTAGGTCACACAGCTCAGTAGGTCAAACCTCAGTATGCATGTTTTCAAACTCTTGCCTTATATGGTTGCTGTAAGAATTAATTGACACAATGATTATCAAGTGACTGGCATAGGGCTGTGCTCCAAGTAGGAGCTCCTTGCCTTGCTCACCTACCAACACTGAGATATTTCTCTGTTGGGTGGAGTGGGGGAGGGATGAGGAAGTATAGAGGGCAAAGAGTGCTGTAAGCAGTCTGGGAGGTCTTCATGGAGGAGGCAATGTCTACAGCTAGGTCTGAAAGGACTAGGGCGCTGCTGTGTGTCTTGGGGAAAGGTGCCACACTTCTCTGTTTCTCTGCCTATAGGGTGCCTGCCAGTGCCACATCTCCTTCCTCTGGGGTGAAAAGGAGCTCCTCCAAGGAAGGAAAAAGTTTTGTAAATAGCAGGTGTGGCCACATTAACAAGCTGAGGTTTGGGGAGCTAACCTTTTACATTGCCTTCCCAGGGAGCCAGCAGTAATCTGTGTCTGGGGTGGGGTGGAGGAGGAGTGTGTGCCTGTGGAACCTATGGATACCTGGTGTGGTATGTGTGTGTGTGTGTGGGGGGGAGACCTCCTTTCCAGATTCTTCTATGCTACTTTTCTTTGTTAACTCTGCCCAGGAAGACCACATATGAACAGACTGTTCCTTCCAACCCCAATACCATTTCTCCTTTCCAAGACCACAGTCTAATAAAACACATGGGGGCTCCCAGGACAGCCACCTTGTATTGATTACCTCCCTTCATTCAACAAAGGCTTGATAGCCACCTTCCTTCATAGGTTCTGTACATGACCCTTGGGGTAGAGAAGAAAACGACAAGGTCAGGGTCTTCAGGATCTGACAGTCAGCTGAAACTCTACAGAGCCTTTTACAGTTTATAAGCAATTTTCCACATTGATTTTGTTTGACATTCACCGTGACCCATGAGGCAGATCTCACGGTTCCCATTTTGCAGATTAGAAAGTTGAGGCTCAGAGTTACAAAGTGGCTGCCAAGTCCCCCATCCTGGATCCTTTCTTTTATATTCCAACATGTTTAAGTGATGCCAAAAAGGAATGGACAAGACACTGATTAAGTGAGCTGCTGCCTTTGTGAGTATCCCTGAATTAAGACAAGACTCAGTGGGTGAGTCTTATCAGGCTCTTCCTGGCTTTGGTGGGTCTCACTCAGGCTCAGGGAGATTGGAGAGAACACCAGGCCACCTAAGCACAAAACCTGAGAGTCCTAGACCCTAAAAGTTGAGAACACGGCCCTCTTCCCACCCCCCAAATAGCAGGGCAAAGGTGGGGCAAGGGGTGGAATGCTGGAGGAGCGGGAGAAGAGTAGGAAAGAACAAACAGCCTGGGACCTGGGACTTGGCCATTACCCCTAGTTGTCAGCACACAGATGTGCTTTCCTGATGCTAAAGTGTGGCAGCAGAAAGATCCCCAACCTGTTGTGTGACCTTAGGAAAGCCCCAACTATCTCTTAGGAAAGCTACTCAGATCTTTCCAGACTATTTCTAAGGATCCTCCAGCTCTCAACTAGGTGATATACTCACCCCTCCTCCCAGATGACCTCCACTTCCTCTTCCTATTCCTACCTGTAGTGTCCAGCCCCTCCTCCTTAGCTCCAGCTGCTCCAGCAGCTTCCTGACTCTTGGAACCTGGGGCCCCAGGCCTGTGCTGCCTTCTGACTCAGGCAGCCCTGACCTTTGGGATCCAAACAGGTGGCCTGGGTGGTTTTATCCTATGAACTTGCTTTGACCTTTGGCATGTCCACCTGTACCCACTTCCTCCACTTTATATCTGTGTCTAGTTCGTGGGTAGCCCAGAAACTAACCAGGTTTTTTCAGAGAAGGTAGCAGCACCACGGGGCTTCTCATTCCAAAGCAGGTAGCCCAGAGATTCAGGCAAATGGGGACAGCCCTTCCACCCCTCCAGTCCCTCTCTCAGCAACATACCATCCTTGGCTGGGTATGTTCACCTCATCCCACCTCCCAGGCTACATATGTTCAGGCTTATTGAGGTAGATTTGCCAAAAAGGTTCAGAGGTACCCATTCAGGCCACTTAGTAACCCCCCCCCCCCACACACACACACATACATCTCATACCCTCATTCCTGGCTCACTGCAGGGATGGGGAGATCATCCCTTCCTCGAACAGGTGTGGTGTCCTAACAGGAATTAAGATACATCTGTCTGGAATTTGTCCTTACTGGCCTGCACTGAGACTAAGGAGCCCTTCTCCGGCCCCCTAATGCCACTACTACGGGCCAAGGGAGCCAGAGGAACTACTGTGTACCAGATATTTTAATACAACCTCTTCTAAGCCTTACGACACCACTACTATGATATAATTTCAATTTTATTAAAAGAAGGAAACTGCAGCTCAACAAGGTCAAGTGACATGCACCAGGCCACGTAGCTAGAAGGTGACAATGAATGATCTAACGGAGTGTCTGAATAAAGGCGTGTGATGGGCGCGACCGGCCCTGGTTCGCGGAGTGCCGTGGGTACAGGCAATTCACAGGGCTCGCGGCCGGGTCCTAGGAGGGCTGGCTCACGCGGGCCCTCCTCACCCTGGGCCCAAGGGAGCACAGGCTCCTAGAAGCGCTGCCGGGCTCTGCCCTAACTGCGCTGGCCGCCCCGCCCCCGCTCCGCCCCCAGCCCGTCCCGCCCGGGACCGCAGACGGCGCCCGGCGGCAGCACAAACGGCCGTGAGGTAGTTGGCTCCGTGCTCGGTACTCACCGCGAGTTCCCGCGCAGGGCCCAGCCGGACAAGAACCCACGACCTCAGCGGCTGGAGCATGTGGCCGCGTCCCCTGGCGGCAGCAGTGGGCCGCCTGACGCCCTGCAGGTAGGAGCTTTTCCGCTCGGCCGGCACGGAAACTTGGGCCGAGTTTCTGGGAGACTCGTGGGGGGGGGGGGGGGGGGGGGGGCGCGGGGGCGGCGCGGCCCCAGGGCGCCCCTACCGGCCCGCCGGGGGAATGGAGCACGCCGGGCCTGGGCTGAGGTTGTGTGGCTCCTAGCTGCCTCTGGCCCCCAGCGACGGGCTGCGGGGCCCCGGCCGCGCCGCTGCTTCGACTGGCCCCAGGCTTGGTAGCACTCTGGAGCTCTGGCGGGGCCCCGGCGCGGGGCTGGCGAGAAGGAGCACGGGCCGAGCCCTCGGGCCTCCCGCGGGGCCTGGCTCTGGTGGACTGTCGGGGCGGAGCTTTGGGGGTGGGGGGAGGGGGCTGGGCCTGGTGGGCGGCGGGCACTGAGGCACCGCGGGTCCATGGTCGCGCCCTGCTGGGACTGGATGACCCTATGGTTTCTTAGCTACGGCTTGACTCACCCACTGGCTGCAGCCCAGCCTGGCGGGATCACCCTGAGGCGGTGGCTACCGGGTTCTATGGCTGGGCCGCCCCCTGCTCCAGATCCCCGCCAGTCTTTGGGTGTCGGTTGGTGGGGCTCGATACGCTGGCCTGCCTGCGTGCACACATGTGCCGGGGCCCGAGCGAGGGGAGAACGCAGTTGTGGAGGGGAGTGTGTGCAGATGTGGGCCATGCACGTACTTGGAGGCACGGGTTTGCATGCGTGGCGGCAACCTGTATGTCAGCCTGCTGAAGTGCACGTGCGCTCTAGTGCCGCCGGGTAGGGCATGGGGCCACGCAGAAGCTCCAAAGCTAAGTTGGCCGAGGGCCCCAGGCACCTGAGTTCTGGGCGGGGCAGGTAGAGGGAAGTGGGTGGAGACCAATCCTGCGACCCTTCTTCCTCCACTGTAGCCTGGGCTCCCAGCTTAGGTTTTAGGGATAGCAGGGTCCCAGAACCTCAGCTCGGAAGTGTGAGAACAGGGGAGGAGGCCCTGTTCAGTACTTTGAGAGAGGCCCCACACTGGCTACAGCTGGGCAGAATCACTCTTCACTCTCTTCTTCCTGGTCTTTCCCAACCTCCACCCAGAGAACCACTAGAGGTGGAAGAGGGAACTGGTCTACAGAGCTGTTTGCCTTCCCCGTTGCTTAGGGTGGGGATGGCACTGGTTGGCTCTTCTATACCCTGCCCTGGGCCTTGGCTGAGGTTGGTCCTCCCAGCCCAGCTCCAACCTCAGCCAACAGTGTGGTGGCCCAAAGGGTGATGTGACCCTGCTGCTTGAGGTCCCACCTTTCTCAGTATGTGTGTTGTCAGGGAAGGAGGCTACTGTTTTGAGTGGAGAGGGGCCTCCCTTGAGAGGGTGTTTGCTGGGCTTTTTCATCTTCTACTGGCAGGAGGTAAGGTCACCCCATACCCTTCATAGTTCTCTGATGGCTCCCTGGAAACTCCACTCTTCTAAAGATTCCTGAGGGTCCCAGGGGTGGCCTCACATCTCTTGGCTGGGTCCCTGGGGGGTATCTCAGGAAGTCTCTAGAGCAAAGAGCACACAGTGGGCAGAGCCCAGGAGAGAAGGACTCCTGGGACTGGAAGTGAGTATGGAGGAGGCCCCGAGGAGTGTGTGGGGAAGGTCCTGAGGAGTGTGTGGGGAAGGTGACTCCGAGCCAGCACTTAATTAACTCCAGAGCTCCTAAGGGCAGAGGGGGAACTCAGCACCCCACAACCATACAACCCTTTCTTACAAAACTGCATTCCCCTAGGGTCCAGGTCTCTAGCATAGGGCACTGCTGTTGATACTGTGGTCCTGATGTTCCATTCTGTCTTCTCTGGAGCATTTCTTCTCTGGGCTGGCCTGAGGTGTCAGATTCAGGCCTGGAAATGAGCCAAATTTCTGAAAGTCCCACCTGGCTTCCTTGGTGCTGGGATGGGAGTGGGCAGTTGCCCTCATCCTACCTTTGGCTTTTCCTGTCCCCAGAATCTGTGGCTGTCATTGGCTACCAGCCAGAAGAGAGGAAAGGGCTGGGAGAGGGTGCTGTTCTTGGCTTGTTGGTGATGGAAACCTGTGACACCTGGCTTATAAGCTCAATCAAAGCAAGATTGAGCTGATTCAATTTTTTCTAAGTCACCTGAGGGTTTTGGGAAACAGGGCACCAGGGGAGGTAGAGGCAGGTCAATTTGGCCCTAGCAGAGTGACCTCATGAGCTCTTATGGGTAATTGGGTGCCTACTGCCTTGAGGAAACCCACACTTGACCTCTCTGGGCCTGAGTCCCAGTCTTTGTTTGCTTGACTTGGTTTCAGGGCCTTAGTCTTGGGCACACAATTGTAACATCAATGCAATGGGGGTAGTTGCCAGCTAGCACACTGTGGCCCTGTAGGCTCCCTGCCTGGACACTCATGTCCCCTCACCTCCCCACCTGCTTGTCCTGGTGCTGTGCTGCCACCATGTGCCTTGAGTGCAGGACCCCCGATTCCAGAAGAGCCAACTGCGGCTTAAGGACTAGACTTAGGCTCTCCTTCCCTACAATTTTGGGACTTTCCTGTTGGTGCCACAGCACCATCTGCAGGACAGCCTTGATGGGTTTAGAGTGGGAGGGGCATGGCTTGTACAAAGTGATGGGTCTGGCCACCTATCACGAGGGACCACCCTCTAGAATCAAGCCCAGTATCTGTGTTGCTCTGGGACTAGGGACCTGGGTTCCAGGCCTGCCTTTGCCGGTTTTTTTTAAATCCTTACCCAAGGGTATTTTTTCCATTTATCATCTGATAGAGTGGGAGGAAGGGAGGGAGGGGGGGGGAGAGAGAGAGAGAGAGAGAGGGAGGCATTGATGTGAAAGAGACACTTCGACTGGTTGCCTCCCACATGACCTGAGCAGGACCGGGCACGAACTGCAGCCAAGGTACATGCCATTTACTGGAATCGAACCCATGACTCATTGGTCCGAGGGCCGATACTTTAACCACTGAGCCAAACCGGCCAGGGCAGCCATTTAAAGAAATTTAAAAAAAAATAAGACTGGCAGGTCAGATATGGTGTGGAGCATAAGTGACTTCATTTTAAAAGTAATCTACCGTCTTGACATCTGGGTGAACCTGACCCTTGACCCCATCCACTTCCCCTGGGTGAGCTCTGGAATATGTACACACAGCTCTGGGCTGATGACAGGATTTTCAGTGTTTCTCTCTCCAGGTCTAGTCACCCTCAATATTATCTATTACTAAACTTGCTCTGGCACCTAATCCCTTTGATTACCCACACCTTTTCACTGCTTAGGAGATATAAGCCCATGGTCTAGTGGATGGAATGTGTGGGGATCCATTTTGTCTTGCTGCTGTCCAAAACTGTATTTCTGTACATAAGCTCCCTATTACTCATTAATTGACAAGCTGGACTTGTCTGCATTGTTCTTTGGTCCTGGCCCCTTCCGTGTGTGGGGCTGCTTTGCATATTCAGCCCTCCCAAAACAAATCTAAAGAGTGTCACAGGAAATCTGAAATTTTAGACAGTGCCCAATTCCATATCTTGACTGCAGTTGGGCATCTTGAGATCACTGTGGGATCTGGAATAAGAGCTTGTCATGGGAGGTCAGAAGCCTGCCTCTCATCCCATCTCTTTCATCAGTTACTTGGGTTTGAATGGGTCTCCTTATCTGTATATGGGGAGGGGAGTGGCTTACAAGGTAATCCTCAGACTATGCCTTGCAAAATCTGAAAGCCCAAGGAAGGAGTCGTGGGAGTTATGTGGAGAAAAGTGAAACAGAGGGGCTCCTGGAGTGGAGGTGGGGGAGTATGTGTAGGGTTGTTGCACAAGAATTCAGTAACAAATGGTTCTGCAGCTTAAAATACAAAGTTGGGAACCTCTGCATTAAATGGCTCATACATTCATTCATTCATAGAGTCGTTATTGTGCATCTACTAAATGCCAAGTTCTTAAGTGTGGCAGTGAGCCAGTGAGAGCAGCAGCTCTCTATTACTTGCGTGTAGCCTGTTATTCTGATGGCCCATGCCTCTCTCTTTTTCCCAGGTCAGCAGTCGAGTAGCTGGGGCCCTGGAGAGCTTGAAGCCTTTTCACAGTGATGGCAGAGAAGCGGCCGCTGGGCACTCTGGGGCCTGTGGTATACGGCAAGCTGCCCCGTCTAGAGGCTGACTCTGGACCTGGGCACAGCTTGGCCCCCTCTGCTGCTAACCAGGACCCATGCAACTACACGGGTGCCTACTTCTCCTGCCCCATGGGGAGTACCCCCAAAACAGGGTCTGAGCGGTTGGCATCCTGGACCCCATACCCACCCTTGTATCCTACCAGTGTAGCAGGACCCCCGATTCCAGAAGACAACCTATTGACCAGCTGCCTGCTTTATCGCCCACCAGCAGGAAGCTCTGAGAAGGTGCAGGACTCTGGCCCTGTTGAGCTCCTGCCTTTTAGTCCCCATGCTCATTCCTACTCAGGCCCTCCACTGGTGGCACCCAAACCTCTCTATCGCAGCCCTCTGTGTTATGGACTCTCAACTTGTCTGGGGGAAGGGGCAGTGAAGAGGTCACTGGATGTTGATTGGACACTGGTGACTGGGCCCCTATTACCCCCAACCAACCCACATTGTTCTCTGACTCTGGCTCCTGGCAAGGGCCAGTCCTTGGATGGTGCCTTCTTGCGTGGGATGCCAGTTGGGGGATCTGGCAGAGACTCCTTAGGGAGTTTCTCTCCATGCCACGCATTCCTGGACAAGTATCAGACCAGCCACAGCATGGGCTTCCTAGCTTCCAAGTATGCAGGTCCTTACTCTGGGGATCCCAAGCAGGCATTGTCTGAGGGAACCCCCAGTCCTTGGACCCAGCTGGCTCAACCCCTGGGGCCAGCCTACCAGGATACAGTGCCCTCTCACTACCCACTGCCCCACCCTCCACAGGCTCTGTCTTGCCCTCCAGCCTGTCACCATCCAGAGAAGCAGAGCAGCTATAGCTCAGTGCCCCCGCCGCAGCCTCTGGGAGCCCATAAGGCAGTTGGGTACCTGGCTGGGGGGCTGAATAGCCCGTACCTGAAGCAGCAGACAGCCCAGGCACCCTGTATGCCCCCAGTGGGACTGGACACTTATTCCTACTCCTCTGTCCCTCTCCCAACACCCTCACCAGGCCTCAAGCTGGAGCCACCTCTCACTCCACGGTGCCCACTAGACTTTGCCCCCCAGGCGCTGGGCTTTCCTTATGCACGGGATGATCTCTCTCTCTCTGGAGCATCCCCAGGGCTCAGAGGAACACCACCTTCCCAGAACAGTGTCCAGGCTGTGCCACAGCCCAGTGCCTTCCAGCGAGCATGCCAGCCTATGCCTGCCAGTCAGCCATGCCCAGAGCCTGTGAGGTCTATAGAGAAGCCGATGCAGGAAGCTGAGGAGACGATATGGCTGCCCAGCTGCCAGAAAGAGCAACTACAGCCACAGCTCAATGTGCACCCTAGGGTACCCATTGTTATCGGAGATAGTCCAGTTCCCCGCACCCCACCAGCACTCCCACCCTGTGCCCAAGAGCAGCGGTCTTTTCCACAGAACCAGGGCACACTGCCCCCTGGCTCTCCACCCATGCCTATTATTGACAATGTCTTCAGCCTGGCCCCCTACCGTGACTATCTGGATGTGCAGACACCCGAGGCCACATCTGAGCCTGACCCAGCCCCAGCTCCAGCCCCTGCCACCAAGGACAGCCATGACAGCGACTCCAGGGGAACCCTGTCTGCCTTGGAGGCCCCTTTGAGGGTACATCGCTCACTTAGGGAGGAAGTGGCACTGGACTTGAGTGTGAAGAAACCCATGACAGAGCCTCTTCCTATCAAGGTCCCTAGTCCTGTGGTGCACTCCAAGCTCCCTATAGCTGTGGGTGTGCCGGGTGTGGGTAGCACAGTCTCAGAGCTGCCTGGGGTACCAGTGACCACAGAGAGCATCCCAAAGACCAATTTCCACAGCTCCGTGGCCTTCATGTTCCGAAAATTCAAAATCCTCCGGCCGGCACCCATGTCTGCAGCCATGGTCCCATCTGTTCCCACCTCGGTCCCTGCCTCTGACCAGCCTGCACCCACCCCTACATCTGTGCCCATTGGGCTACAGATTCTCAAACAGCCCTTGCCTGTGGCCTGCTTTGATCTGGCACTGCCCAGTCCTCCAGGTGTATCCATGGCCACTCCAGCACCTACTCTGGCTCCATCACCTGCTCCAGACCGGACTTTGGCTCCAGCTCCTACCCCTGTCACAGTGGATTCCCCAGAGCAACACTTTGCAGGACTACATGAGTCCCTTTGTGATGCCATCTCAGGCTCAGTGGCCCACTCCCCACCTGAGAAACTGCGTGAATGGCTTGAGATGGCTGGGCCTTGGGGCCGGGCAGCATGGCAGGATGGCCAGGCTGTGCAGGGGCTGTTGGGCAAACTGCTGTCCCAGTTGCAACGCTTTGTGTGCACACAGCAGTGTCCCTTCCCACACGTGGTGCGGGCTGGCGCCATCTTTGTGCCCATCCACCTGGTGAAGGAGAGGCTCTTCCCGAGGCTGCCGCCTTCTTCTGTGGATCTTGTGCTACAGGAACACCGTGTGGAGCTGCGGCCCACCACACTGTCAGAGGAGAGGGCACTGCGGGAGCGAGCCCTGCGTGGCTGCTCCTCACGCATGCTGAAGTTGCTGGCACTGCGCCAGCTGCCTGACATATACCCCGACCTTCTGGGTCTGCAGTGGCGTGACTGTGTACGCCGCCAGCTGGGTGAGCACGGGGCAGCCCCAATTGCCACTGGATCTGCGTGAGCAAGTGACAGGTGTGTGGGCTGTGTGAGTGCTCGCAGCCAGGGGCTAAGGGATTCATGGACCTTTGGAAAGGGCAGGGAGGGGGTGGCTAGCCTTCCAGGGTGGGGTCTGTGGACTTTTCCCCCCATATACTTCACCCCAGCATCAGTGAGAGTCTTCATGGCCTCCTCTGTAAGCCTGTGAACATGCCAAGTGCTCTGCATGGAAATATTTTCTTGGCCATCCTGGTACTGCACCCTCCTGAATCCCTTTCTGCTGTGCCTTCTCTGTCTTTGCTATAGGCTTTTCTGGGCTCTGGGGGTCTGCCCAGGCCCTGTTATCACCTGAGGTCATTTCCTTATGTCTCTCCTGCCCATCCTTTCCTCTTCTAAGCTCCACCCCCAAATAACTGACTGCATGCTGGAATTCTTACCTGGTGACTCTGTGACCCTTAACTCCTCCCAAGCCACACTCCTGACCTTTTCCCTATGCTCATTTCCCTCTCCAGTGAACAGCACCTCTACTCACCCAGTGCCTCATTCCTGAAACCCAGCAGGAGTCTCACCTTCCCCCATCCTCAATACTATGGCCCGAATGTACAGTCACCTTCCCCCATCCTCAATACTATGGCCCGAATGTACAGTCACCTTCCCCCATCCTCAATACTATGGCCCGAATGTACAGTTTTCAGACATCCCAGGTGTTTGCATTCATCAAAGTGTCCCAGTAAGTTGGGACCTTGTTTTGCAGTTTGCTTTTCCCAACTTATTGTGCACATTGCTCTCCAGTGTGTTCTCTATATTCTGGAGCATCATCTAATCAGTTCAGGTAGCTTGACCTCACCCTTGAGGACATCTGCCATGTCGCATGGTGTGCACCATCTCACTTCTGTTGGGACTTTGGTGATGGTGCCCAGTAGTGTCCATTGCTGCCTCTTCTACCTCAGGAGATCTGGCATCAAGGCCTGCTCTGTCATTCTCTTGTCCTCGCACCCAAACAGCTGCTTCTGAGTAGTGCTGTCAGAGCTCTGGCATTGCCTGGGGAGAAACGCTGCCTCTTGGTTTAATGGTCTGGCCAGTGGGTATATGCAGGGAAGAAGGGTCATGATTTCTGTGGCCTTGCTGGGGCCATTCTGCCCTGGAACAGAGCAGGGCCACTAATTTAGATGGCTTTGCAGGCTAGGAGATAGGACATGAAGGTGTTGAGGTCTGTAGCATGACTATGTGTTCATTTTCCAGGTGACTTTGACACTGAGGCTGGATTTATGCCCTGAGAATCCATCATGGCCAGAGATGAGCCGGAGAGCCTAGTCCTGGCTCAGAAGTCACCCATTCCCAAGGCCAGGAAGCTGAGAAGGAAGCTACAAACACCTGGCCTGGAGAAAGCAGAGGGAACTGCTGGGGAAGGGTCCCACAGTGCCTCACCTGTCCCTGATGCCAGTGCCAGCCTACCCAGCCCCACATTGAGGGCCCACTGTCGAAGCCTGCTGGAAACTGCCTGGCTTAACAGCCTGGCACTGCCCACTTGGGGCCACAAGGCTTCAGGAGCATCTCGGTCCTCATCTTGCTCAGAGCTGGTGGGTGGCCAAAGCTATCACCTGTAGCACTGGTGGCTGGTGCTGTTTGGACAGCTACTGTCTGGTAATCACTCTCCACCCCTCCCTTCTGCCAGCCTAGCTGCCCAGGACAGGACTGGACATACCCTTGGAGTTTCTCCAGTTTTCACCCTGCCCTCTACCCCAACCCCACCCCTGGCTGGGCTGAGAATCCCTGAGCTTTTAACTTGAGGGCCTTTATTAGAAAGGACTGCTTTCTATTCATCCTTAGAAAAGATGTGTGGGCTTTGGAGCCCCACTGACTTGGGCTTGGATCCTGGCTCCTATGTTTCTTGCTGTGTAATTGGGCAAGTCACTTCCTCTCTTGAGCCCTTAGTTACCCATTTGTAAAACAGGACAACGCAGCCTACCTCACAGGGTTATTGTGAGGGTGATGCCTGACACGCACCAGTTATGGTTTACTCTCTGCTCCCTCCACAGTACACGGGCCCAGATCCCAGCCAGTGCCTGAACTTTGAGGCTGAGGCAGGTTGAACCTTCCTCCGGAAAGTTTAATTTTATTAAAAAAATTTTTTTTTTTCTCTATTGATTTTAGAGAGAGGAAGGGTGAGGGAAAGAGATAGAAGAAACATTGATGAGAGAGAACAATGATTGGCTGCCTCCTGCATGCCCCCCCACTGCGGATCTGGCCCACAACCTGGGCATGTGCCCTGACTGGGAATCAAATCAGTGACCTCTTGGTGCATGGGTTGATGCTCACACTGAGCCACACCAGCTGGGCCCTCCAGAAAGTTTTAATGTGTCATAGGACTTGGTTATCTTGGAGCAAGACAGTGTATGGTATCTATGACTCCTATACTTTCTAGAGTCATTCCCTCAAGAATTCCTGAGGCTACAGCCTCAGTGTTTGGGGTTGTCTCCCTGAGGGAGCCTGCCCCTCCGCTACCGTGCTATAGGGGGTGCAGGGATACCACCTGGGACTGGCATCCTTGTTTTGGGCCTGCTGCTTTTACCCCTGGGAGGTTCCAGGCCTGTCCTAAATTGACACCAGTGACTTCCCTGAGCTATCAACTTCACCCAGTGCATTATTCCAAGAAAGTTGTTTGTTTCCTGGAAGCCAAGCAGCTGCAGGGACTAGAACAGGCTTAGTGACAACTCAGTCCTGGAAGGTTTCTGAAGATGTGAAATTAGGATCTGCAGCCCCATCAACCAGGCCTGCTGTGGGTTACCTCCTTGTAGTGCTAAACTGAGCCCAGAGGCTGGCAAGCTGGGCCTTGGTGTAGTTAAGGTTTCTAACAAGGCTGTGGTCCCTGGAGGCAGGCCATTAAGCATTAAAGCATTTGGGTTTTTGGATCTGGGACCTCGGCTGTGTGTGTGGGGGGTGTAGGTTTAATATATCATCACCAGGTGCTTAGCCCTTCACTGAAAGTCTGCAGCTGTCCTTGCTCCCAGCCCAGAAGGCTCTCCAGCAACCTTTTCCCAGCTAGCTCTGGCCAAGTGGGCTCTTGTCACAAACCCACTGAGCAGCCACTTTTCTGTTCAGGAAAGCCTCCTGAGACCCTTCTGGGTCCTGATGGTTTCTGGTGTGTAGTCCACTGCCCTGTGAGAAATGCTGGTCACCAGACCCCAGCACACACCCCTCTCTTAGGACAAAGGATGTGCCTACCAAAGTCTAAATAGAACAGAAGTGTTCCACACTCCCTATGTTGGTGACTTATCCCGCTGAGGGACAGCCCCTCCCACGCTTTAGCTGGGCTCCATTCCCTCAGAGGTTTGTTCTCAGAGCTGCTGAGGTGGTTTCCTGGACGAGGTTTCCACTTCATCTACAACAGGGACCAGGCCACTAGGGGAAGTCAGACCTGCCTGGGATTGACCCTAACTTTGTGGGTTTCTCTGTGCTTAGTTATACCATCTTTCCTGCACACAGCTACATTGTGACTCCTACAGCTAGAGCCTGACCTTACACCGGACCAGGGTTTGGAATGGCAACACTCACCCCCAGTAATGGACAGTCGAGGAGATAGGCAACCCCAACACTGTGGTCACCACAGTAACAACCTGAGGGGAGGGTGTAGTGGAATGTCAAGAGGGGCCTATCCTAGTGTGGGGATGAGAAAGTTGTCATGGGTCCCAGAAGAGTTGCTGCCTGAAGTGGGCCTTGAAGACCAGCAGGATGAGGTAGGTGAAAGCAGGTGTAAAGTGCAGTGTGAGTTGAAGAGCATGTACAGAGAGAGGCCTACAGGAGTGTTTGGGAAAGGGAAATGACCTGTGTGTCTGGGGTACAGGAAACTAGGTGGGCGGGGCCAGAAGACACGGTTCCAATCCAGTTAATTGCACATCAACTCATTCAGTCCTGGAACCTGGAGAATAGGGGTGTGGTCCATGTCTGTCTACAGAAAACTCAAATGTAGAGACTTAGAATTGAGGCAACTTATGTAGGAAGAAAGGACAGGATTATGACACAGGTGGAATTGCTCTAAATTCCCAGGCTAAGGACAGACTCACCCACCTCACTGCCAGGGCCTTGCTGTATTTGGCTATTTTTCCTTTCTTTCCTTCCTTTCTCCTCCCTCCTTCATCCTTTCTTGCATACCTGTTGTGCCCCTGTTCCCTGATAGGCTTACATCTTGCTAACATTACCATGGTTACAGGGCAGGGTCTGGGCCTTGGCATAGGCAGGGCTACTTAGCACCCAAGGCCATCTGTTCACTTGTGTCATAATGGTGCAAGGGCTAGGTAACAGTCGTGTAGAGCTGGATATGATGGAGAGAGGTGGCTGCTCCCTGTGGAACAACTGTCCTGGAAGCCCCACTCTGAGGGGAGAAACTTAGCCCTGATCTGAGGGCTCTGCTAAGGGAAGAGCTATGACAGTGTCCTGAGGAGCCCCAGGCTAAGGTGGTAGGTTGGGTACAGAGCTGCCCAGGACTCCTGTCTGAAGGAGGCGGTTTTACTGCCCCACACAATTTTCACAAAGCCAGTACCATTGCTGATGTCTAAGCTGAAGGCAAGGAAGGTGTGTGGGGAGAGTTAGGTTGCTGGTACCCCCAGCCCTCAAGTAGACGAATGGGGCCCACTCAGCCTTGGTTGAATGTGGCTCTCTGGCCTCATAGTTTCCCCTCTAATAATCCATGGCTCCTGGGTAGGGCTGTACCCTGGCAGGACTTCCCAAACAAAATCACCTGGAAAATGGTTTTCAGGGCCTCATTGAGGACTGGCTTAGGCAGAACCCAGGAATCTGGATTTTAATCAAACTGCCAAATTGATTCTGAGGTATTCAGAGATTATATCTTAAGCAACATGGACCATTCCTGCTAGGTTACAGATAAACAAAGGTCCAGGAACTTGTTGACAGTCACATCAAGTTAGGGGCTTTGTCAAGATTGGAGTTAGGCCCTGACCGGTTTGGCTCAATGGTTAGAGTGTCTGCCTGTGGTCCAGAGAGACCTGGGTTCGGTTCCCACTAAGGGCATGTACCTTGGTTGCAGTTTGTCCCCGGCCCTCGTTGGGTCGTGTGGGTGGCAGCCACTCGCTGGGGGACCAGGAACTGAAAATTCAGCACCTGGCTCGGCTCCATCTCTATTGCCTAGCCCACACCTGCCCTGGCTGGGCTTGCTCTCTGCCTCAGGTGGCCTTGCTAGGAAACGTGTGGGTCTCTTGCCCTGAGTTAACAGGAGGTTGGCACTTGAGGCTCCTCTGAGTGAGGCCCCACCTCCTGGCTGCCCTTTGTGACACCCTGGGCCCAGTACAAAAGGCTGAAGGCTATGCCAAGGCCAGAAGCTTTGCTGCCAGGAGTTAGGCCCGAAAAGAGTTGTGTGAGAGGACAGCTCTAAAGAGGAGAGGAGAGCAGCAGGTCTATGTCTGGGGGTGATTATCAGCACCCTTGGTAACCTCCAGGTACTTCCTGTCCCGGCTTGTTCTCACTGAGGTTTGGGGAGCAGGACCCAACTCTGACTTTTCTGAATGTGCCTCTTCATGGGGTGGCCCTGTAGCCCAGTCTGATGCCCCTGAGGCCTGGGCTCCCTCAGCAGGGTACTCCCTCAGCAACTATGGGTATGAGGAAAGTAGTGGGGGTACTCCAGCCTGTGGGCACTGGGCCCTGCTTCTGATTGTTCTCTGTTCTCTAGGCCATGTCCCTAGTAGCTCCCTCAGTCCCCACCCTCAAAGGGGAGCCCCCATCCCAACCCTCCCAAGCCCAGGGTAGGGGAAGGTGTTGCAGAACTCCTGTCTGTTCCTCTGGACACAGCTCCTGGAGTGGACGAGCTGGCAGGCAGTTGGGGAGATCCTCCTGTACACTGCCGTCTCCATAGGAATGGCAACGCTGAGTGTTCTCATGGCTCTTCCTTCCCATGCTCTTGCGCCAGTGGAGGTATCCACCCCATCTGACAATCCCTGCATTAGCTTGGTCTGGTCTGTGACTCCAGCGCCCCTGCCTCTGTCCTACAGGGACCCAGCACTCAAGCCCAGTGTCTCCTTGGGGCAGTGAGAAGGGAATAGGCTCCTGGGAAGGGGTGTTGAGCCCCTTGGAAGGACCTCAAGCGGCCCCTCTTATGATTACCAGGCCTGGCAGAGGGCCCCTTTCCTTCTCCATCCTCCAGTTTTCTTGCCCTAGTCGGTGCAGAGCCTGTCTTAAGGGCTCATCATGTCCTCTATCATCTGCTGTCTCCCCCTACCCCCACCCCAGGACCACTTCCTTTCCATGGCATCTGCGGGGCTGCAGGCTCAGGTCGAACCACGAGAGAGACTACTTTTGGTAACTTCCCTGGCTGGGAGACCTTTCCCCATCTTGGGGACGGCTCATTCCAAGGCACAGAAGTGTGAGCAGTGTGTGAGGGTGATTATACCACCAGCACAGAAATAATTTTCTTTGGGGGAGAGCGGACAGTTTCATGGGTTGAAAGGATGACTTGTCAGAGCCACCAGGACAGTGAGAGTGTATAGATGGAACCGCTAGCTGTTGAATTAGTGTTGGTGCCTACAGTGTGCAAATATTCCTGTGCTCAACCCATTTACCGGATTTCTTCACCTGTCTACTGTAGCAGGAAACTGTACCATGTGGCATGTTACCAAACATATTTATTTATTTATTTATTTTGGTACGTGCCCCTAGCAGGAACCGAACCCGGGACTCTCTGGTCCATAGGCCAATGCTCCAACCACTGAGCCAAACCGGCCAGGGCAACATATTTGTTATTAATTCCTAGCTTCCCCTGCCTAAACCTGCATAATCTGATTTTAGTTCCTTTGTATAGTTAATCTCAAGAGATTGATTTTAGTGAAATATTTAAATACAAATATATCTTTTAAGACTACATATAATTTACTTTACAATTTTCTAGTAATGATAAAACTGTGTGATGAATTCTATAATGTAATTAAAAGCTGGTAGTTTTTTTTTAATAGTAGCAATTTGAAATACCATACTTCTTTTTGTATGTTCCCCAGTTTGCTCTCACTTCTTTTTTAAAATCATAATTTCTTCTTTTTAAAATGTATTCCATTGGCAACTGTCAACTCAGACTTTCCCCCCGCTCTGTGCAAGTTATTTTAAGCTGAAATGAATGTGGTCCTTTCATCTGTCCTACAGTGTTCAGCATATCCAGCCTTAGGTCATAGCAACTCAGAATCT